AATGTAAAGCACTGTCGTCTCATCAGCAAATGTGGCATGTGTCTAAATGTTTGTCCACCATATTTTTTACATGCCAATGTCAACCGCATACTTTTTTGTTAACCAAATCTAAACGTATTTAAGAAATTATTTTTAAATGATTGTTCCTCCATAATGCGTTGCATGATAAATTAATCTATTACGCTCAGATTTCCAGAGACTTTTCTAGAACAGATTTGCAATAATATTTCTTTCAGCTATTCATCTCATTGCTTGAAAATACTTTTCGAATGGTCTAGTTGAACGCAAACGACGATGTCCCTTCGATTAATTAACATTACCGTCAACCGGTTCACATATTAAATTGGATTCCCTAAATCCTCTTCTCTACAATGCTGACTCATTAAATCCTCAGATATTAATAAACAACAATAACTAGAAATAAAGAATAACCCCCTGGCCATTACTCGAACTCTCATCGCTCTCGTTGGGAAACTAAATTTCTTTCGCAGCTTCCTTAACGATTAGGCTCTAAACGCTAACCGGCAGCAATAATGAAAATCAAACAATGTAGCTAATTAAGATAAATAAAAATACAATTAGAAAGTTAATAATAATATATTAATACTGTTTTCTACTACTAATAATATAATATAATTCTGCCGCTTAAATATTATAGTATTCTAAAAATACGAGAATCCTTAGAAATATAATTTTAATATTTCCTGATAAAAAAATCCTTTTTTTAGACTGCGAGTTTTATCTAAAGTCAACAAAAATAAAGCGGTATCCTAGAAAGAACTACTTGTCTTATGTTTAATTTTTTGCTGAGTTCAAGTGACATGCATTCATATCAACTTTAACATTCCCCTCGCTATTAAAAATAAGTTCAGTAATGGTTTCATAATAATTTCAATTCTTACTTCTATTTCCCTCTTGAATCAGTTGCGTCGAACATATCAATCACTTGTTAGTTTATTATTATTGTTATTATTATTATTCGTAGTAGTAGTAGTAGTAGTAATAGTAGTAGTAGTTGCATTAAACACAATATTTGATGTAACTCTTCCAATATTTTAAACACAAAAGAGCACGATTTAAGAAAAGAAAAAGAAAACTTAAAATAGTTTGATAATATTCAATAATATTTCGACAGCATGTCTCTTTTTCAAGTTAATTAATGGCATTTTAATTAATATGCTTTATTTCTCGAGACAAGTGACATATGTTTTGTAGATTTTTTTATATTTTTACACTTGTATACAAACTATAACTTATAGGTATAATGTCAGACACAACAATGTGATATTTGCTTGGCATTTTATTACAAACGACTATAATTCTGAAAGAATATCTAGAATCCACCAACCAAGTGGAAGTGTCAATATCTTTGCCGTAATTTTGAAGTAATGTGGTTTTCCACAGTCCTACGCTGTATTTAAGGAAATGTACTATCAACCAGGACACTTGTACATTTGTAAAGCCTTAAGGATCAAAGAGTGTGGCACACTATCAAACACTTTACGGTAATCAATTTAATATATGTTGAGATTTCTACCTTTTTTCCTACAATTTTCCAGGATCATTTTATTTATTAGTAGTTGATCATAGAAACCATATGACCCTCTTCGACATTCTTTTTGTTTGAGCGGAAGAATGTTGTTTTCATCGAGAAAAGAGTTAGTACATTTCATCAGGCCAGACGTGGTCAATTTATATTTTGTGGAGATTATTGGCCTATAAATTATGGGATCAACTGTTCACCCGTTTTTGGTAGGAGATATGTACTACCTTCAGTGATCCATCTTGAAATTTCATTGGGGTTATTTAATATCATTGATGAAGCTTGCGCAAGAGTTTTATAAACTGATGACAGATGATATAGCCAAAAGTTGAGTACATTGTCATTTCCTGGGATTTCATTAGAGCTTGCCTAACATTATTCTTGGTTATATTTTTCCATTCTTGCACAGGTGTGTCCTTTATAATAATAATAATTATTATTATTATTGCATTGCGTGGGCTTAATGAGTATATTATCTGGGCTCATAAGCACACTCTTTTGTATCATAGATAATGAGATAATTTATTAATATGTGTATCTGCATCCTCTTTATGTATTTCTTCTCCTCCTATTATTATAGGATATTGGTTGATATATATTTTTCGATGTTTTCTTTTACATTTTAACTGTCAAATTCTGTTTTGTTGTTCTCAGGATTTCCGTTGGTTTAACAAATATTTTGCCGTCTCTGTTCCTTTCTTCTTCGTCTACAATTCTTTCGGGTTCTATGTAAAAATCTTGGAAACTTCCTTTAAATATGAAATTGTCTAATTATTTCCTAATTATAGCTATTATTATTATTATTAGTAGTAGTAGTAGTAGTAGTAGTAGTAGTAGTAGTGATATATTTGCTTTTTCCGCATCGTTTTCATTTTCACCCGGGGATCTTGTATAATGGGCGTTCTTCATTCTCATACGATATCTGCACATTTGGTAGAATATTGAGAGTGCCAAGCAAGGTAGACTTGTGAAGCGATCGGGTATGAGGATTTGTTCTGACTTTTTCAATGTAGGACAATAGGCTATTAGTATAGCCCCAATGCTCAATTATAAATGGAACGATAAGAGCCTGAACATCCCACATTCTGGTAACTTCACGCCGGAAGTTGGTGCATTTATAAAGCTTGTCAATTTCCTTGATCATAATATTATTATCAACAGGAAGAGCGATGAGGAGGCATTTCTTCTTTTTTTTTATTTTGGAGGAGTTGTTTTTTTTTTTCATCAGCGATAGTGAAACCTGGTGTTGGGGGCCTCAAGAAAGCCATCTCTTTGGCTATTGAAATCCCACAAGATTTTAAATTGGTTGTTTTCAGTTACCTTTTCTGGCTTGTGGCAGTAACATTTATCATCAAGTCCATAATTTCTAAAAGGTTTTCTTTGGATTCCATTTTTGTATCGTATGGAACAGTAAAATCAATAATTTGACACATGCTAATTTTCTATGCGAATATCGTCATGTTTTCGTGCTTCAATGACGTGAACTATCTGCACCAAGATATCCCATAATATCCCATGACTATCATTTTCTACCAGTAACTTCCACCTTTTTCTTTTCTCTTTGGAGACCAATTTATGACATATATCCCAATGAATTGTCTGACCAATCCAACCATGTCGCCGCTTGTACTTTTTCCTTGACAACATGAGGCATTCACTGGGTGTATGATTAACTGGCTCATCAACTCGCCTACACATCCAGCATTTGCTTTTTCTTCCGATTTGATTATCCTTGTGTTAATTGCATTCGTTCTGATGACTTGTCCCTGTGCTGTACATAAAAGCGATTTTGAATTATTATTATTATTATTATTATTATTATTATTATTATTATTATTATTATTTGGAAAGTGAATTAGAACATAAAATATGTTTGACAGGAACTACACTTTTGATTGTTAGACATTGAGTCCTCGGGCCACTGGAATGTACAAGTTACACACGAATCGCGATAAAACAAAGTAAATCAATGAAAAGATCATGCTAATAGAAATAAGCTCATAAAATAATTACTGCGTATTATATACGGAGAATATTGATTGATTAGTCCGTTTTCTAATGTTTATAAACCCTTTGCAGGTTATTTAAAGTTATAAAATATTTTTAGGTTACGTTAATTTTCTTTTTGGAGATAATAATGATTTAGTAATACAAGTCTTACTAATGAATCCATAGCTGGGGGGAGAAGTGGTGGATGCATACCTTTCCAAGGGTGTTTACGTGTATGTGAATATAACGAATGCAACTGGAACCCTGTGCTCTCCAATTAATAATTCTGAGCCTTTATCCATTACAACATTCGTAAATTTAAAACATCTGGTATTCCAAAGTGGTCACCCATCTAAGTTCTGACCAGGATTGATGTTGCATAACTTCAGTCATCGTACGTGAACCTGTGTTTCAGCGTGTTGAAGCCATATGCCCGATATAATCGAACCAGAATGCAGGCAACTGGTATAAACACTATATCGGAGGTTTTAATTATAAACAATAAACACTGAGTTTAGGGCAAAAACGTGACTTCCTTGTCCACCTGTTTAAAGGCAATAGTAAACGTCATATGTTTCGCAAGAATCAATGTGTTTAATCTCAAGTTTATGCGTTATAATAACACATACTAACCCTAGTTAGAAGCAAAAAAGAATTAACAGGATCCAATAATGCGTTCTGCTCTATATTACAAACTACAATCGAGATTTAAAGGAAGCCGGAGAGTATCTCTGCAGTAATATTTTACAAACAACAGCACAGAGCATGAAACTAATAATAAATAACCTATATAAAAAATATACAACATCGAAACTTCGAAAAAGAAACAGTTTTCATATAATTTAGATTTCATTTTTTTTTTAAATATAAATATATAGTATTTTGTACGTGTGTATCCGTTTATAACTTATTTGGGATTACCTAAAATGTTTCGAATCCACGGATTAGAAGGTCCATTGTGAATTTTTGTAATGATGACTTAAGTAAAATAATCGATTATTGCTTTATTGGAAACAAGATATATTTATTTCTCTTTACCACATAAGATTTTACAAGAATGAAAACAAATATTAACGGGCACCTTAATAGCTTTAATATAGTGAAATTTATTTTTATTGAACATGTTTGAAATAAGCAACATGAAATGAAAAAATGCTTGTCAGAAAATAGGTATTAATAGACAGAATAATGTCCATAGAAAGAAAGATTCATTGATTGATTCGTTTGGCTTATCATTCCATTGCAGCTTATTTGATGCCAGGAAATATTTTTAGGTTATAAGCATATCTTTTTTTGAGATAATAATGATTTCAGTGATACAAGTCTTACTAATTAATCAATACCCGCGGAAAAAAAATGGCGGATTTATACGTCTTAAGTCAATAGACGGACGTAGCAAGAATTGGAACTCGGCTCTGCGATTAAATATTTGCAGCCACTATCCATTACATCACCCGCAAATCCAAGTTTACAGCACCTGGTATTCTCAAGCGGTCACCCATCTAGGTACTGACCAGACACGACGTTGCTTAACTTCGGTGATCATACGGGGGGAAACGTTTTATCAACGTGATGCGGCTGTAAGTCATAAATGGCTGAAAGAACAAACAATAAAAGTAATAAAACATTCATGACTTGAATGTACATCGAACGTAGAAAAGCCACATTTTAAAGCTTCAAAATATCCTTAACAACTATACACATTCCATTATACTCGGTTCAGGGTAATCTCTGTCGAAATTGGACGAGTGAAAAGTGACACATTGGGCTTCACTTCTTCTGGGCAGTGTACTCACAGAATATAGCCACAATTATATGGCTGAAGATGGCCATTAATACTCTGTAGTCACACTTTGAAGTTCCTGATAAACGAGCTACATCAGCTTCTATAATCTCGATAATCAGCTAAAAGGCCAGAGATACAGGATGGAAATACTGATCTCGTGGTTGGAGGCGGTGAATCTGGACCGTTGTGCAACTGCCTATTTTCGTTCTGCGGGTACTGGAGGGGAGATTTATTGTTTAGACGTGGGGTGTGGCAGAAGAAGATATGTCGATCTGAATGTTGGCAAAGGAAAGCGAATCTGTTGCATTAAGCGGTGATAACATGCTGTGGAAGCCAAGAGAAAAGGCAGATGGTAAATTTAATAGATGCAACATACGCAGCAATTGCTCACAGCAAACACACGTACCTATCTATCTATCTATCTATCTATCTATCTATCTATCTATCTATCTATCTATCTGACTCTGTTCATATATCTCTCTCTCTCTCTCTATATATATATATATATATATATATATATATATATCAGTATGTAAATTTACATTGAAGTTCATATCTATCAGTATGTAAATTTATATCAAAGTTTATATATATCTATAGATATGTAAATTTGTATCGAAGTTTATATCTATGAAAGTTTGTATCCATCTATCTATCTCAGCCTGTTCATATTTATCTATCTATCTATTTATGTAAGATTGCCTATCTATCTTTCTATATATATGTAAATTTATATCGATGTTTATATATATCTATGTAGCTAGTCATGTACGGTTCTATCTATCTATCTCAGCCTGGTCATATCTATCTATCTATCTATCTATCTATCTATCTATCTATCTATCTATCTATCTGTCTGTCTGTTTGTCTCAGCCTGTACTATCTATCTATTTAAGGTTACCTATCTATCTTTCTATAGATATGTAAATTTATATCGAAGTTTATATCTACTATATAGCTAACTAGCTAGCCACGTACGGTTCAATCTATCTATCTGATATCTCAGCCTGTTCATATGTATGTATGTATGTATGTATGCATCTATCTATCTATCTATCTATCTATCTATCTATCTATCTATCTATCTATCTATCTATCTACGTAAGGTTACCTATCTATCTTTCTATAGATATGTAAATTTATATTGAAGTTTATATCCATTTAGCTAGCTAGCTTTCTAGCTACCCATGTACGGTTCTATCTATCTATCTATCTATCTATCTATCTATCTATCTATCTATCTATCTATCTATCTATCTATCTATCTCAGTCTGTTCATATCTATATCAAGTGAATATCTGTTCGTCTATCTGCTTGCCTATATTCCTTGTTACAGTGTCAATTATCCTTCAGCGGAATGCATTAATATGTTTAATTTCATCTCTAATACGTTTTCTTAGATATCTATTTGTTGATAAAAATGTATGTTTTGTTCTTTAGGAAGTTGTGTACCTCAGAAATTTTCTGTAGTCGGTATAGGACTAAAATCCAAAGAAATTAAATGCTGATTTTCGACGTAGGTATAATTTCGCTCTTAAATTAATCTCGTTGCTCCAATTTGTAAGAATCTACGTAGATTGAAAAACCTCTTAAAATTATTCGTATATAGAATCAACTTTTGAATAATTATTTTACCTACTATAACTTGATTTAATCAGAAAATGTTTACTTTCTTGTTTTTATCAGTGTAAAAACTTACGTTGTAATCTGTTCGTCCCTGGAGACAATAATATAGTTTTGCGCTACAAGAATTGGCAGGAGTTTTAGTAATCTTGGGCTGCCAATACGTCCAGGTTCTTTTATCAGCAATACAAGTAGAGGCTAAGGAGGTGATAAACCAATATAGTTTGATACCGGCGCAGCGACAGTTACCGGAAAATGACACGATACTCCCTTCGGTGTTCCAGCTAGATTCTTGTAAGGTTTACTTATGATAGTTTTTTTTTTCTCTCTGTAGATACCGACTATGTATTGGCGATTATTATATCAGAGTTGATCTTTTTCTAAGTAAAAGAGTAACAGCAGTAATTCGAAAAACCTACTGTTGCAATGTGGATAGAATTAGAAATGTCAAAGGAATCAATAAATTATACACCCCGTTTGAGAAAAAAATTACTTTAAGGACGGATAGAAACTTAACTTTATATCTTTTGTGATGTCAACGAACACTTGTTGTCATTTT